GGGGGTAACGGGCTGTAAAGCTGTCTTGGTCATAAAGAGCGATCGCAGAGTGCCGAGTCAAACCAGAACGCCGAGCTCTCCGAGCCATGCGCAGCCCTCGTTATCATCAGAACAGCTCCTTCACATACTTAACCTTTCCAGACCAGCCTTTCTGCATTATTTTCCAAATGACCTTTAGCGTTACTTATTTCATTTCCGATAATGGCACACTAAATTTAGTTAAATGCATCAGAGCAAAATGTGTTTATTTTGGTGAAGAGGACTACAGTGACTGACAAGGACCATGTTCCAGCACAAACTCTAAAGCCTCCGAAGCAGTAAACATGAATCCATCTTCCTGATGGTAATAAACACCAGGCTGCGTGTCTGATGAGCACACATAAATTAAATGGATAAAAACAAATAAAAAGGGCCCACACATCTAAGTAAGAAGTACCATCCAAAGATACTTGATAAGAAGTTCAAGGTTGCACCACAGGGCACAACCCCTGGGTCAAGGCTCGGAGGTTATAGGTAAAGACAAGGTTTTAATTTACCTCTTAAATAAAGCTACATATGAGATCAATTCAAATAAAAACCATGATAAAAAGTGTAAAAAGAGTTGATAAGATCTGTGACAGTCTGCCCTGAGGTGAAACTATCATTTTTTTATATTCTCTGGCATAACATTCCACCAAGTGTAAATTTACAAGCAAAGTTGATTAAAAAAAACACTAATGAAGTTTGAAAACACACAAAATGCGTACCGAACCTGAATTGTTTGAGGAAAATAGTCTGTGTTTATTGCTTGATAATGAATTCAAAGATCCACTTCCTGCCAACGCACAGTGCACGCTCTTGGTCACAAACAGCTTAACAGTTTAGAACTGTATCAGCTTTCAAAAGGTCTAACTTGAACATAAATATGTAGCTACCCTGGAGCTGTTGTATCACAGACACGATCCCTCAGCCGGCAAGGAGCAGTGTGTTTAACGTCCTCGCCGTGTAAGCGGAGGGGGTGGGGTGAAGGGATCTTAGTGAAATCGCTAATGTACGTGATGATTAAGTGTAACTCAAATACAGAGTGTGTTGTTCACAGGCCTGACAGGCAGTAATTTGGTGTATTATATTCTGCAGTTTTAATTGCACGCCACCAACGTGTCCCTCTGACACGTTATGAAGCGATGATGTACAATTATTTCGGGGCGGCGGGAGATCAGTGGAGTGACATTATAATCATCCTCATAGGGTTCCCTCTCTTCATCTGCAACAACCATTAATGTTTAAATGGGAGGAAGGGAAGAAAAAAAAAACATAAAAATAGTTCTCAGGGAGTTCTAACCAGAATCTGTTTGAGGATTATAGAGAATCACGTCAGGGGAGAAGGAGAGGGGTGTGGATAGACAATAGAGGGGCTGAGTTAAGTGACGGCTTTCTCTGGATAAGCAGCAAGCTAAGATGCTTCTCCACTGTCACTGCCAGGCCTCACACTACTCATACAGGCCCGGGCATTAAGGCACATTACAGCGGATGAGCCACGCAGGGCGGAACTGATGGGCTATTCTGGGAACAGACCAGACAATCTCACAAGACAGGGGGGACATAAAAACCCTGACATGAGCCAGCCCCATCCTGTTAACAGTCAAATCACACACACAACACCCAACAAGAAATCATGACTATATATACTCTCTCCAACACTAAGTCAAGAAAACTGAGACGCGAGAGGGAGAGGGGGAGGGAAAAACACAATGCAGCCTCCTCCGCACGGGAGACAAACTTTAGCACATCGCAAACTTTCTGTGTTGCGAGAAAGCAACGTGTTTTTTTTTTTTAATGTTTTGTTCAAATTCCTGAAGTGACACTAGGAAACGGGCGGCTTATGACCCATAATCATTAAATGGCAGTGCACAAGAGGACAATCTTTGTCCATTATAGTGTTAATACTTTTAAGGCCCGGGGCTGAGATATTAAACCAATGCTTCAAAGCATTTAGACGCTTTATGCATAATTTAACACCTACAACAGCACTGGATGTCCGTTGCATCTTTGGGGAGGACGAGAGCGAGAAGGTGGAAATGCTGAATCCAGGGCCTTTCGTGGATGATGGAGGAGAGGAGGTGGAGGCTCATTAAGTGGCCGAGCCCCACTGTGGACAAAACATGCCAGGAGGAAACACAAGAATCAGCCGTCTCACATGCTGGAGGATTTTTTTTATCCAATTATATATGAGAAATCTTATCTTGCATGCTAACAGCCAATTTCTGTTTTTTTTTCCTGCTGCTTTTGCATCTTAAGAGTTCTTTACAGTCAAATTAAGATGGACCTAAAGACAAAGATAGGAAGATAGATAGAGTAGAAACTGACAAACAGACGTGTGTAGCAAACTGAGAGAAACGGTGAGGCAGAGACCGAGAGACTATACTCTGACCAGCATGCTCAGGTTTGATTGGCAGCGCGGTCAAGGGTTCCAATCTGTTCCGGCCTCGCATTTGCATTTGTTAATTAAATGCCACAACAATATGATCTTTAACTATCAGCAACTTCCCCCCCGCTCCTGAGAACAGACCAGCTGCGGCGGATTGAAGGTAAAGTGGACAGCTGAGGTGCAGCGCAGACGTTTGCTCACATTCTCCGCACAGAGGGAAGGGACAACCAGCCGATCGATGCCCGTAAAGAGAGATTTCTTTTACAGGAGTGAAAAAACACAAACACAATATGATGAGCCAGTCTAAACAAAATGGTGATAAACTAGTCCCGCAAAACTCCATAACCCGGGGGCGGCCCTAGAAGCTAAAAGTGAGAAATAAATGAATGAAATCAAGATTGTATATTTATATATATTGTCAAAGAGCAGCATAAACACAGTCTTGTGCTAATTGAAATGATAAATGGTGATTACACATAAAAATCCCTGCAATTTTCTTTTTTTGGTTTAGCGAAAATGTTGCCCCGTCATTAGTATCCCCCGGGGATTGCAGAACTTAATCGCAGTATAATCTCACTTTTCTAGGTCACCCAAAACAAAACGGGTAATCACATAACGCATTTTACCTGATCCACGGCCATCCATTACAAACGTGCTTTAGATCCCGATTAAGGATGTGTTGTCAAATGTGAAAAGTTTGAGAAGGAGTGGGGGGGGGGGTACAGGTTATGTGTATGTATGGCTCTGGCCTTAATGAGGGTGTTTCTGGGGGTTTTCTTTGTGTTTGCTGCTCTTTAGTCAGGAGGAGGGATGGCCTGGTGATCAGTCAGTACTGAAACAGCACACACAGGGCCGATTTGTCACCAGTGGCTGGCACTGGCAGCACACAGCTCCTCCATCCACATGATTTGTGAAACCAGGGGCTGTATTTAGTAGTCCCATTTAAAGGCATATTGGAGAACTGTTCTGTATGTGTGTGTGTGTGTGTGTGTGAGCGTGTATGTAAAGCTGGATGCTTGGTCAAAGCCCAACACATTTGCAGCACTTGGGAGAAGAGGGGTTTCAGCTGGAGGGCTTGTGAAACATGATCCTTTCCTCTCATTAAAGGAGAGGCTGTGTTTAAACCAAAGCTTGTTTGCTCCTGCTGTAATATGTTTGCGAACATCAGCGGGAGCAAATAAACACGTTCGCACTGCGTGGCTTGAGAAGAACAAAATAAGCCCGCGACTGAACTAAATGGAACGGTTTACACAGAATTACACAGAGGGAGAAACTAATAACTCTACATATGTCTTCATCTTAGCGAGTGGGTAGCGGCGAAAGCTCGATGGCACAAAGCTGGAAATCCCACAATTTGCTCTATTCCCCAACTGCATGTTAAACAGCTTAACACGTCCATTTGAACATGGCAAGGCAGTGAGGAGGTCTACCACGGGACTGAACGAGCTGAACACAACATATGGTCCACATGTAGGGGGTACAAGGTAGTGGGATAATAATTGTTCTCTTGCACTACTGGGTATTTATAGGCTCGTGGTTACCTACATAAACTTCCAATTAGGAATATTTGTACAGCTGAAACCATGAAGACGGTAAAATAAACGCTTTCTATTTCTTTTACCTTTAATTTGCAGGGAATGTCCAGTAGAAGCAATATATTACACTTTTTAAGAAGGGCCTGGGACCATTTAAAAGGTTAAAGAAAGTTTATTCACACATTAAGGTGAAACTATTACTAAATGTTTGAATGGCTTTAGCTTGTACGGCCCTTTTTCCCTGTTTTCTTGCTTGAATAAATATTAGCACATGTGTTCAGTATTTCAAGCTGAACTTCTTCATCCAGGCACTGAAGGAAAAGGATTAATTTTTTTATTTACTGATTGATTTTACGGATTGAAAGCTCAAAATTTGCCACAAAATAATCTTCTTCGGATTAGTAGCAAATTAATCGTACTTCTCTTGATGCAGCCAAACAGGATTTAAGTGGCTTGAAATATGAAGTTGCCTGAAACGAACACCGGACGAGAGGGACGTTTCAATTTTAACCCTCAGATCAAAACCTTTGGCAGCTGATCTGGAAACAGAATCAAAGTCTGCTATCATAGCTCATAACTTAATCAGGTCAGAATAGAAGAGCATTAGACTTTCAGTCTAACAAACACAGAGACACTTCTGTGTCTCAGTTTGCAAATCTCACGCTCACACTCCTATTTTGAGGACATACTGTAAGTAGGATCACACTGTGTGTATGTCAGCATGCAGTGAATTATGAGAACCCAGATGAACTCAAAACGATGAACACATTGACCGACACTTTTTAGCCTTAACAGGCCCCATCCTGGCTGCTCAGTGGAAGAAGATTAACCACCAACGTAACAGGACAGAGGCGGAGGACATGTCATCGGTGCAGACTGCAACATATTTTCCATGTCACATGACAAAGAGGGGCACACATGAGAAGGTTAAATGTTGGCTGAAGTAATCTGCATAGGAGTACAAGTGTGTATTAAAGGACAGAAAAGAATCACATGTCCAGGACAGTTTTCCGTCACTTTTAAAGAGACTGAAGTCACTGTTCGTCTTTGGAACTCACCCACAGATGTCACATTTGTACTCTCTCATGCCCAGGTGTCTCTTCACGTGGTTCCTGGCGTCTCCCAGCTGAGCCGTTGCAAAGTTGCAGATCTTGCACATGAAGGGCTTAGATCCTGTAAAACAAAGCAGGGAGAGTTCGTATGCCGCAATAATATTACATTTGAAAGAAAAAAGTGGCAATTTTAATAAAACATGACTGCATAACAGCATGGGCAAAAATGTGATTTTACATTACAGATCATTTTTCAATGCCAGGCTTGTAAGGCTTATTAGTTCTGTGCTTCTGCCTACTTCACAGCCACAAAATGACTTCAGAATTATAAAAACAGATGCCCTTACTCCAGTCCCTATAAAAACTACAGTCACACTCCAAGTGTCATGCATCTCTTCTTTCACTCTCTATCTATCCTTGTCACTCTCCTTCGTCTCTTACCAACTCTTCCTCTGCCTGTGGATGCGTAAATTGGATTCCAAAGGTCAGGGCGAATACGTAAATCAATTCTGTATGTGCTCACTACCTCCCATTCCATCATTAAAGCGCTAATCACTCTGGCGGCCTTCACAGGGAGGTTTCTCCCTAATTATTGTCATTAATAAGTCCAGAGGGCGGGGTAGCGTTTGAGAGAGTGGCAAAGCTTCCGCCTGCCATCCGTCATTTAAGAGGAGAGCTGCGAGCGCTGATGCCTGCGCTGTCTGGGTGATGCACTGGAGTTAAAACCAGGAGCTAGTCCTTCAATACAAATACAGAAAAAAATGCATATTTCAATTTCTTTTACATATGAGTCACCAAAAACAACCCCAACCCTAAGTAAATATCTATGTATGTACTAATTCTATAAATCTTTGTCCGTCTGTATATCTGGAGAACCGTTTATCTTATCGGCTTCACACTTGGCATGTGTATTGTTAAAAGCCTGATGATGCACACAGTTGAATTTAGTTTGACTTCATGTGATAAGTTCTAATATTGATATTTTTTTTTTTTAAACAGATGACCAGCACTCTGTAGCATTCTGGGTTCATGACAACTGCAATAATTACTGCAGGTCACTTTTACAGTTCCAGACAGAAAGCTGCAACCAGCGTTACCACAGGTCAAGAAAACAGCCCATTCCAAACAGGCAGGTTACCTCTAAAGCCTACATTTCCTTGCTGTCATTAAAAATAAGCATTTGGCAAAATAAAATGTAACTTAAACCTAATTCCTGCTAAACTTTCTCTAGTTATGGCAGCCTGAGCCAGATATAGGCCGGCATCACACAGCGCGACACTCCAATCTAAGTGGCAGCACGATATTATATCCACATACGCATCTGTGAGCAAATCCTCACCCACCCTCTTCCAGTGAATATCCCAAGATGTTCTACAATATTTATTCCAGGGGCAGCCGCTGATTTGATTAAGCACTTTGTGTAGATTACTAATTCGTTCATACACGGTTCACTTGCTGCGAGCTGGAAGTACGACACATCGAATTTTTAGCCGGTAACGAAGATTGAAAGGCAAGTCTTCGCTAACAAGGCCCATAAACACAGGGGTCGGGGTGGGGGTCCAAGCATACAACAGCAGAGCCAGCCTTGCCATGCCACGTCCCTACAGCATTCCACACAAACACACACACACACAAAAGCGCATACACACACACACACACACACACACACAAGCAAATAAAGGCAGATAAACAAATGAAAAAAAAACATATATAAATGAACACCTCACACTGAAATGTGCAGACTCCTTCACACACACGAAAGTCTACACAACAAAATCATCAACACCCATAAAAAAAGACAGACATACGTGTTCACACTGCACCCACCATCACACCTACACAAACCTACATCTTGATTCAGAACACCACCTTGCACCTATGTACGTGCATACAGACACACGCATTGCATTCACGAGACATAATCACCCGTGGACAAACAAGAGACAATAACGCTCTCTCTCCTTCTCACTCACACACACACACATCCTGAAGTTGAGGTGAGAGCGAGGCGTGTGGGAGGCTGATTTGTCCAGATGGCTGGCTGAGTATGAGACATGGCAGAGAGGAGAGAGATGTAACGTCCCTCAGTTCTCACATCTTATCACATTAATACTCCACCACTCCACTTAAACAGCCTCCGTGAAACTGAAATTGACCATCAATGCAGTGTCATGTTAAATTAATATTGCCATCCACATAAGGGCGATGGTTCCTTCACATCCCAGATGAGACAGGGAATGACTAATTCATTTCCTGAGAGAAGAACCTCATGCAATGTTTCACTACACACACACACACACACACACACACACACAGTAATATCTTAAGCCTTGTACATGCCATACACCTGAAGGTTAAAGCCAAGACTATGACAGGCCTTGGCTTTAACCTTCAGGTTCAGAGGAAGATAATAATACATGATTATTTTATATAGAGAAACGTCTGCGTTGTTATATCTATTCCTACAAGCAGGATGCACACTATTAGAACTTGTGAGCATCCCAATTTCCAAAGCAGGTTGGCTGCAGTTCTGCCGTGCAGGTTCACATCAAGCACTTTCTAAGTAATGTGTAATTCTTCACAGTCAGGGTCACAGATTTCCAGTCCAATGTATTTTTATCCTTCACATTGTTTTCATTTATTTCAGCCTACCAGGAGATCTATTTTACATTTCAGTGACTGGATTAGGACGCGGTTAAAGCTGTGCCACAAGTCACAGAAATATAAAACATGGCAACCTGTTAAAGATATACTGTAACGTATGTTAGAGAGACAAGAGGAGGAAAGTGGTCTCCTCCTCCCTTCTTCCTTCAGTGGTTAAACACAGAGGTTGAGGAAATTACTCCAGGGACAACAGTGGGAAATTCAAAAAAACATATTTTAAAAAGATGGTCAAAACTGAAGGAACGGAGTCTGTATGTTTTTTAAGTTTAGTCCAAAATATACTTCAAGTTCCAAATGCATTGCATCCTTTGTTTCTGTAATGCAACTTGACTGCATCATTCATTCAATCATTCAACGCCCTGCCGTCCAAGTGCAGATAAACCTGATGAAAGTTTCCAAGTTTGGAAAATTTCCTCCGCAGCCACACTAAACACTTTTCAACTGTTATCACTGGCTGAGTAGAGCTCAGTGCTGTTCATAAATAATCAGGTGAGAATACATTTATGGAGGATGGGTGTCCTCACTGCTGACGGCCCATTAGAAGAACAATGTAATAGCTTATTTTGCAGGACAGCTTCGGGTTCTGCTGCCTAATTATCTAAATGTTGTATTGGAATGTAACAGGCCAAGAAATGCAAAGCCCCCTGCCTTCAGGTACAAGAAAGGAAAAAAAGCCAGCTGATAAAAAGCAGTTCACATTTCCATAACAGACACATGATGTATGAGCAGTAAATCCCATCCCAATTTGTAATTTTATAACATAAGCAGTAAAAATTGAAATGTCGTATTTTGAAATGGACTTTATTTGAGTCCCGTAAGTACATTAGAATATACAATAAAATAAATCTTCCAATTTCTAATAAAGATGTTTGAACATATTTCACTGCTACTCTCATCTCAGTCAATCTTTTGGATTTGAAACACAAGCAAGTCCAGTTCCTCATGTACACTTGTACATTTGCCGAAGATACAGCAGGAGGCACTGGCATGGAAGAAAACAGCAATTCCATCTAGAGCTGTAAATACTTTAGTCCACTTTGTACTTTTCCACTTGCTTCGACTCAGCTTCCACCGTTTAAAATTCATGTTACTTTCCGTCTGATCCTCATCATCAAAATTTTATGTGCTGATGAGTTTGATGGAAAGCGACAGTGATTAATAGCACAGAACTCATGTACAGAAATTGACATCTTATCACTAAAAAACCCTTTTGGCATTATATTTACATTTTGAAAGTACATTTTAGTTTCACATTTGAGTCAGCATCCACTTTAGAAATGGACTTGGATGTAATAAGAGAATAAAATAAATAGAAAATATGTAGATTAGAGGCGACATCCACTTTGAATATGGTAGAAGCTTCTCTGTCATCAGTCTGAGGGAAGACAATGCTTTCAGTGGAGATTTGTATGTCCCATGATGCTTTATAAGTGTTTTTTAAAGATAAAATCTAGGGGGGGGCACTAAATAAATTCAATAATATAAAGGATCTTAAGAATTCCATAATTAAAAAGACATGTTGATCAAACTGTATTAAATTATATTAATTATGTGGAATTTTTAAAGAGATTCTGACAAGGCTAACACACCACGCGAACTTGCCATTTAATTTTTTAATTTTTCCACAGACATCACATCCTGTGTGTGAACGTGCATGTGTGGCATGTGTATCTATTATTGTAGGGCTCAGTCTGAGGTCAGACAGCTCACTCCAGTGAAAAAGTGACCAATTTACCTCAAAATGCAAATTCCAGCTGTACCCTCATTGGCAAAATGCAAGCATACGTGTTTCCTTTAAGGGACAAATTGACAAATCTGTGTGCAGCCTCCCACCACCGTCTCCTGATTTCACTGATTAATCAAGTGAATAAAAACTAGGTCTTAATTAAAAGGATCTGGACGTGCTCCCAGCCTAGAAACTGGCAGACCCCCACCGTGCAGCTCAACAGCCCCACAAACAAACTCCCCAGAATAAACGACCACCACATAAAAGGTGAATAATTCACTGTAATGAGGGAACTTAGCAATAATAACAACTGGCACATGTTGTCAAAATGAAGAGAAATAGGTGCCTTCCACAAATAAGAGCGGCATAAATGAAAGTGGAGATGTAATCTTATAAACAAGAACATAACTCAATAGAAAAGAAGCAAATGTGGGGAAAAAACAAACTCTTCATTCATTCGTTCATTTTAAACCTGAGAGCGCGCCCTTGACTTGAAGCCATCTGTTGGGACCTCAGTGTCACAGCTTTCATTTTCTTAAGTAACACTAAGACAGTGACCTCAAAACTCAAGAATTATGACACAGGATAAAATCATGAATACATGCAGACTTACTGCTAATAAGAAGAAAGTGGGGGCTCCACATTAATCATCAGGATTTTACCTCCAATTCTTACAGCTTTATGCAGTCAGATTTGAGCAGTAAGCAATCTGACTTTGGCTCACAAGGTGACTGGCACACACGTCGTAAAAAAGGACAAAAATGTTTAGGTTTCTTAAGTTAGTCCTCTGCTCCAGCAAATGCATCGGTTATCTCTCTTACCCCTGAAGTAACAACAATCAGAATATTTTACAGCAGCTTTGTTTAAAACCTACAACCATATATGGGCATATGATGACATAATGGACAGAAATCAGATTGATGTTTGAAGTACTTTAGGAGTATTAAGTTAGGCGATATTTTCTGTGTTTTCTGACAATAAAATCTACTCCAGCCTGACCAGTTTTTCAGTTTGCCAATGTAACTGGTGGACATTAGTCTCTTAGAATTATATTGATGAGTATTGGCTTTATGCAGTATATTGCTAGTATGCATTACTTCATTAATTACAAAAGTATTACCTCCGACAGCAGTGGAAACTTTATTTGTTCATCAAATATGTCAGTTCGATGTTTGTACAGATCTGGGAGCTCCTCACAGGTTTAGACTGCAGCAAATCCAGCTCAAGTGAAGAAATGAAACCACCACCACAATGGTTTTCACTATAAACCAGCACAAACATGTCAACTACCAACATAAACCACAATGATCTTCTGAACCAACACGTTGCAAATGCAAGCACTTACAAAAAGTAGCATTTGCATTTTGGACCGTAAAACAGCAAACACAACTTCTTAGCAATGCCTCATGGGAAATAGAGGGCATCGCCAGACTACTGTATAATAATGGCTCTAAGCACTGTCTTCAACAGTGAACTATCACAGCTGAATAGAGTCGAGGATTCTGTCTGTCATGAAGGTTGGATTTTGACATCTTAAGGATCAATGACATTTAAAAAATATATAAATATCAGACTATATGTCAGAATTTTTTATTCCCTGATAAAGTATTGGCATCAGCCCCAAAGAAATCGGTCGGGCTATAAACCCGACAATGCCTGCACAAACCATTCACTGTCACTGAGTCCAAAAGTGGAAAGACTCCTATTTTATCTCCCATTAACCACACACTTCATACACACACAAACACGCCTACACACATGTACACATGTGGTCAGCCCAGAGCAAAGACTCCAATTAAAGTCCCATTAAAGTTTGGGCTGAAAGGGGGATGGACCACGGAAGGCAGAGAAGGGCATTTATTGATGGCGCCCTCACATCTTGTTCCTGCATTAAGTTGATTTTAAAAGCAATTAATACACATGGTCAGGGAAAAGTAATGGAGCGCCCTATGTTCTTAACCTGCCGGACATTTCGCAGACGAAGACCCCAACAACGCAGCCCTGCTTTGCATTATAAATGACAAGATAAATTTTAATGGATTGAGGATAATCAGCTAGCCATGAAGGTTGACATATACACACATTTGCTGGGCATACAAGCGCTCGCACACATATACACAAACATGGACGTACAGACACAAGGGAAATTAAAGGCTTTGAATACGTCTGCATTGATTATTTTAAATTATTAGCCCACCTCTCTTTGGACCTCCAATGCTTTTAGCCTAAGCTTTAACACATTTACAGAGACTTATTGACTATAATTACAACTGAGTCTTGGTAATGGACACATCAATTATGAGTCGCACATGTCTCTGACCAAGCGTTGCTCAGGGAATCCCAATCTGGGGTCCATTAGCGTCTCTCCTGCTGGTCTGAAGCTCAATCAGTCTTTACCTTCATCTCTACTGAAACAGCTAATACCTGGCTGCAGCAGATAGTGGCCTGAACATTAGCCTGAGCTGCCAAAGAGGAGGCTGTATCTCCCCACTCTATACTGCTGTAGCTCAAAACAGAGGCTGTACAGCTGAGCAGTTACACAAAGAGATTACAGTTTTCCTATTCGTTTATAGTAAAAACATGATGTGTTTAAGTGCTCACCAGGCATTTTGTTTCATACGAACCACACACCTAATCAGTATTGGTTATAGGAGGGTTCAATAATTTATGCAGTGTTGAGCATGTAGGTAAATGTATTTGTATATATTTTTAGATCAGAATGTTATTTCTAGAAAATATTCATTCATAATTTCCCACACCAATCGTCTAAAATATGTGATATAGGTCTGCAGACTCACTCTTTACATTGATTGTCTAACTGGTGCACACGATTTAGGTGCAACCAAAATGTTTAGCCACTGATTTCCCAAATCAATTCCATTCTCATTCACAAGGTCTCCATTCAATTTCCAATTCGACTCAGTTAAGAAGATTTTATTGAACAATAACAATTTTCCCTGGATATTAAATAAATTCTCAGAGAATTAAAGCTGATCACTGAACATGGAAACCTCTCACTTGGTGCATTCTTAAAAATATTAAGGTAGGCCTGTCACAATAACAAGTTTTGTTGGGACGATATTTTGTCCCAGATATTATTGTGATAAATAATATTTTTGTCAATATTGTGAGAACATTTTAAACCACTGATACATAAACTGATAGTATTATAGCATAATCATGCAACTACACCCTGTCAAAAAGCCATGAACTAAATTCTAAAGTCTGACTTTTGAACGACAATATTATTTAGGGTTAGGGTTACACTCATTTGAACACAGTGTGAAAACGGCTAATTTACTAGTTTAAATATTGGCAAGGAGATATTGCGTAAGTTAAACATTTTCCTTATACTGGGCTTTCATATAGTGTTTTATCAAACTCATTATTTATTGTATGTCTTGGGCACTTATTAAATGTAATCCATCTTCTTTTTATTTTATATTGTATGTGGTTTGACCATCTTTTGAATGGTGTGTGTGTGAGACCTAGAGAGTAGGAGAGAGTGTGTGTAAATAGAAGCAGGATACATACCAGTATGGGTGCGAATGTGTGCCAGGAAGGCCATGGAGTTGCTGCTCTTGCACACCTTGCCACAGTATTTACACACACAGCCCTTGTTCTCCTCACGCTCTCTGTTGATCTGCTCCGTGTCCTCCACCACGTACTTGTTGACCTCTCTGAGGAGCTCCTCGTGTTTCTCCTTGATGTGAACAAACAGATCCTGCTCCGACTCGAAGCGGTCAGTGCATTTCACGCACTTGAAGCTCGCTCCCCCCTCAGGCAGCTCCTCAACGCTGTTCTGCTCGTTGCGGAGGTGGGAGGCACTGGTCAGGTGCTGGTGCAGGTTGCTCTCGGTGTAGAACGACTTGCCACACACCAGGCAGTGGAAGTGCCTCTCCTTGGATGGATGCTTCATCGAGATGTGGACGTTGAGGCCGCTGATGCCCTCAGCTATAAAGCCACAGTCCTCGCAGCGTATGCGAGAGCCGCTAGCTTTGACTTTCTCCTTGACCTTCATTTCCTTGGGTTTGAGTGTCTTAACATATGCATAACTGGGGGTCGAGTGGTCAGAGAGCACAGGTGTACCTCCAGTCAGACATATCACAGCGGCCTCACCTTCCAGAGCCAGATCTTCCTGCAGCACCTGCTCCTGCTCCGCAAGGGCCTTCATAGATACAATGCAGGCGTCAAGGAAAAGGGCTTTGGGCACTTGTGTATCTGAATGTGAGCTGTCACTTTTTTCATCTACACTCATCACATCAGCATTTTCATGTTCATTGTCTTCCTCTTTCGCCCCTTCCTCCTGGCTCTCTTGCTGGGCAGACTCGTCAGCTGCAGGTTGCAGGTCTGCAGGGGTCTCCTGGGCTTCAGACGGTGCTGTAAGCGCAACAGTCTTGTTGGTTGGATCGGATTCTGCACCAGTGGAAGATGCAATATTCTCTCTTTGCTTCTCATCTGCACTGCCAGCAACAATAACCACAGTGTGGACAGGTTCTGTGGCGATGGAGGTCACGGCTGTGTTCTGACTTTCTGTAGCTCGACTGTCGTTTGAGCAAGATTCAGACTCTTCAGTGTTCGAGTTCAACCCAGAAAGCTCAATGACGTCCCTCGGCTTCAATGGGAGTGCCAAAGCTCTTCGGCCTTCACTGCCCACTGGCTCCAAGTATCTCTGGCTGTTCAGTTTGTGCTTCTCTGTGTTTGCATGGCGAGACATTTCCCTGCTTGTTACTGAGTAGTAGCTACACGCTAAGCAGACATACTCAAATTCTTTGGTGTGCTTTCGCTTGACGTGGAGCTGGAGCGAAGGGAGTGAATGGGCAACAAAATCGCAGTCGCTGCAAGCGTTAACAAAGTCATATTTACTTTTCCTCTGGCTTGAGTCTGACTGTGTTGGCTCTTGTCCACTGTTCTCTGTGTTGTTAGATTCCTGCTCTTTGTCTGAGGTGTGTGAGGCTGCGTTCGGTTGCTGGGCTTGTGAACTCGTGGATTCCTGCTGTGACGCGCTTGTGGGATTGTAGACGGGGTTCTTTTTTGAACACTCTTGTGCACGCCTGACATGTTTCTTCGTGATACAGTGACGGTCCATGTCTCCTTTGGTCACGCAGTTGTAGTTGCACAGAGTGCAGCTGTATCCATACTCCTTGCTGTGTTTCCGGCGAACATGAACACTGAGGTTGGTGGCGTTGGACACTACCAGGCCACAGTAACCACAAGTGGTTGTGGACCCTTGCTTTGGTCTTCCCCTTTTTTTTCTGGGGGGTTCAAGCTCCAAATCGTCAACCAACACAGCTTGAGCAGCCTCCACTGCCTTTTCAGTCTCCTGGTGTCCTTCTTTCAACATTCCACCAGGCTGAGCACAATCATCTATATTTGCAGCATCTCCCACATGGTCCCTCTTTACACACTCAACGTAGACGTGAAATGAGGAAGATTCTGCGTTTTGCTTCACCGCCTGCAGCTGCATGTGGTTATCTGAGGATAGATGCGCTTCCATCCACTCTGGTGTGGCCGAAAAATAGTTGCACAATTTGCAGCGGTACCACTCCTGGTCCAGGTGTTTGTGCCGAGCGTGGTTCTCCAGCAGCGCAGGGGTACTGAGCCTAAAATCACAGTGTTCGCACTTCAGCAGGAACCTGCTGTGCGCATGTTTGGTCGCCACTCGTATCTCAGTGGCCTTCACAGGGTCGGCAGGATCCTCAGGTTCCTCTTCATCATCCATGTTTTCATCAGCATCAACTGAAAGATTTCATAGATACACTTTAAGTTTTTTCAAACACCAAGCTAAACAATTTAGGTTAAAAAAAATAACATAACCTTGAACAATAAGTGAAGAAAACTAAAACTAAAACATTACCAATATATATCCGTAGTGAAAATTCGCACAAAAATGACTTAAATTCTCAAATACTTACACGTGTATGGTGTACCTTTGGTGTGGTATCTCTGGATATGAACATCTAGAGGAGCTTTGTCCCTAAATTCTTGCCCACAGTAGTTGCAGGAGTAAATCATCTTAGGTTTCGGGGTTCGCTTGCTTACTCTTCTCTCTTGGGTAAGGATCACCTCCCCTTGATCGGCCTGCTGTTTGTCTACTGCCCTTTGCTTCTTAGTTAAACTCTTTCCATTGTCATTGGCTGCTGACCTCAGCTCCAAAAGGTCAGACTCCTCAACTGCACTCTCTGTCTCCATGTCTGCCTCCAGTTGTTTTTCAGCTTGGCTGACATCACTGATATTGTCACTTTTTACAGTTGGCTTTGCAGTGTTGTCACTGTTCTTGGAGTTATTTCCATGCCTCCGTGCAAAGTGAATCTTCAGCGACCGTGGACATTTGGCTGAGAAGCCACAGGCTGTGCACAGGTTATCTCCATCCTCAGGCACGGAGTCTGCGTTTCTACTGGGTGAGTGTCTTTTACTCTCCTCCATTTTCAAATCCCCTGTCTGCACCTTCTTCCTGGTGTCCTTTTCAGACTCCTTTCACAATGCCAAACTTTTATCTTTATATTTTCCCACAATAATTAAATTTAAGTGGACTGCTGTCATCAAAGCCGGGTCAAACTACCTGCAAAAGAATAAAAAAATGTCTGTAACACAAATCAATTTTAAGAACAAATGCTGCAGTTAACAACAAGCTTCTCATGTGATTAATCCTTCAGCAACTCTGATCAAACACGAGTAAATGTCGCCATCTAGTGGTTCCAGATACAAACGTACCAGCATAAGAGCTGCTGGCTGCTGCTTAAATGAGCAAAACACAAGTCCACTGTGTCACTGTTATTAAATGGAGTATGTGTATGTCATTGCCGGTTTCAGATGCAGTTTGAAATGTATGCAAACATGATTCTGTAGAACTCCAGTCATTGCAGGAATTAGATCATTGAAGTACAACTTAAAATTGAAATGTGCATAACCATAATTATAATGCATAGCAAAGTTAAAACGTTCTAAAATGTGTTTTTACAGTGGAAAAGATGCTCCGTGATTTTACAACTGCCAAGAATGATCAACACACTGCAACTTCACACGTGTTTTCTCTTTGCTCTCTCGTGTTTGCTGTATTCCAGTTTGTTTGCCACATATTGCAGTCAAACTGATGAATGTGTTCCTTAAGATGCTTGTGCTCCAGTAGTCTGCAGATTTGTTTTCACCCCTAAATGTGATGTATGTGTTGTCAAAGTGCTGAAGGTGTTTACTTCATTTTCTTGGGCTATGTCAATTTGCTTCTCTTCATTTTACGTCCTCTCAACCACCCGTTTCTCACCATTGTCTGAATGAATAAATGAAAATAGATGAGGTATCAATAAAAATGATCGTGGAGGCTCAGACAGGTTCTGTTGAGGTCAACCAATGAGCACTTTATGAATGAGCCTCCTCACTAGCGCCACCTAATGTGTGTTTTGATAAAGCGCGGCCACGGGAGAAGCAAGTCGCACTTTTCATGTTCGTGCAACTTAACATTAGATTGAATGAACGTCTACATGAGTGAAAGGAGCGGATTGCGGGTGAATTACAGCGGATCGCGACTTGTGTCTAACGCATGTTTCCAGGTAGGTAAAGGAGGATTGCACAGGGCAGAGAAAGACGAGTATCTGAAGCTGAGTGTCACATTCAGAGAACAACAGAAGCAGATCTGTCTCTGGTGCAGCTCTGTCACCAGCAGGAACTTAAAACACCACTCGATCGTGTAACTAACTCTGTGTTTTGTTGCATTTCCTGCGTTTGAACGCCACCTAAACAGCGACTTTAGCACAACAGTCATGTTAAACGAGCCGCACAAGTTTCACATCACGTGTGGGGAAATGAAGGGAGACTGCAGAAGGCCCGTGTTGCACAGTGTAAAGCTCCTGGAACTGTTCCGTGGCTCTAACTAACCACAGCGCCGCTGCATCGTTTGGTTTAACTTGTGACTTCTGCTGTTGAACGCGGCGGCTAACATGCTAACTAGCAACATGTTCCCCGGAATGCGTTTCGACGTACACGCAGCGCGTCCAATCAAAAGGCCAGATGAGCGGTGATAGCCAATCACAGCGGAGAGGAGGCGGGTCTAACGCTCCGCTCTGCTTGGAAAACGACGGCAGCACAGAGGCCCAAAAAGGAGGCTAACGTCGACCTCTAGCACAGCGGTGTGTATCACAGGGACAGCGGCTGGAAACGCCGCGGCGAGCCGCCTGTGCTGTCACCGGGAGCAGCGCGGCGGAGGGTCGGGCGCTGTGGACAGATCCGGACGCTACTCACCTCTTGTTGAGCGACTGTTTGCTCCGTCCGCGCGTTTTCCTGCGAGACACAAATGGCGTACCGTAGCGCGAGCCATGCGTCACGAGAGAGGGCGGGCTTCCTGTCAGATGCCGCGTTCCGGGACCGTGGGAAATACGGCGTAACCACATGGAAAGGAAACAATCGGTGGGAGGATGGGACCTCCTGAGGCTCGCTCTATGGGCTCGCTGGACAACGTGTGAGCAGCGACGATCAACATTGAAATTGAATTGATCAATTATAAGGACGCGATTCCTTTACAGTCATTTTTAATAGCAAACCAAGCAATTACAACTCTGCATGTCACCAGTCCTGTGAAACACGTAAAACCAGTGGTGGAAAGTAACTCAGTATATTTACTGAAGTACTCAGGTCATATTTTGTGGAATTTGTACTGAACAGTATTCATAAAGTAGTATAAAGTATTTACATTGTATACTACTTTAAACTTCCACTTCCCAACATAACAGGGACATATTAGAGTTAGATGCTGGAGTAATATTGCAATACATATTTATAATTTATCACTATGGTAAATTACTAGTTACTTTTATGATATAGATTTTATACAATGCATAACACTTTAAGTCTCATCTCTGCAATATTCACTGTGCTATATTCATTTGTCTGTGCAATATAAACGGATCCTGTGCAATCCATCAACTGTAAATTTCCTCACACTGCATATATTTCCTCCTGTCTTTACACTGTATATACTAGTTTAATTACATTCATTTGTTCCTCTATTTCTTTATACTTTTTTATATTCCACACACTAAAGTATTGCATGTTGTGTATTACTTGCTAATGTCTTTTTGACTCTTGCTGCTGTAATACTGCAAATTTCCCATTGTGCGACTAATAAAGGACTTCTTATCTGTAATAAAAACTACTAAAATACAGTATTAAATGGAATCAAATAGTGTTTTTTGGGTGCGAATCATTAAAAAATCTGAATGTACAGTATTTTCCTTTCTTTAGTTGTCATCAAATTGTTAAGAAAAATGTAAAGAAATATATTTTGAATCACTGAATTAATTCATAGTTGGTTAAGCATGTGGCCTGTACAGAGACGGTGTGTATTTTTCTTTCTCACATGGTCAGTGTGTGATGAATCACCTCTTCCATTGGACATCCAATGTTGGCTTTATGGAAAGACTGAAGATGGATTAATGCTCGGGCATTAATTGATTAAGTAGTCTGACAGGTCAGGAGGTGATAAATGATACCTCCTACAATGAATACACAGTTTACTTTTGCAATAATTTTCTTTAATTCATCACAGTCAAAATTATATGACATGGATGGTTGGAAACACAGACACCCCCCTCCTCCTTCTCCACCCCATTTTTCATTAGGATTCATCATTCATTTTTCTCCATTAGTTGTCTATTAAAAGAGGGGAGGCCAGCTTTGGTGGACACGGCTTCATTCTACAGCTATTTTTAGCTGTTGTGCTTTTGTTCAAATTTTGCTGTGGAATAAACAGACTATCCTTAAATATTGGATTTTAGTTTGCAGTAATTTGTTGTCAATCAATCAGTTGACTTTATTTCCAATATAACAAGATTTCAAACTTTAATTGTGTCACTGTTATTTTAAACTCAAATAAGGTCAAACATCAACCCTCAATTAACATCTTGTACATTTAGTTTTCACGGATATGGTATAATGGTGTAATACCCACAAGAGACTTTTCTAGTATGTTATGTTTTCACATTTTAAGAACACAATGCACGCAATAAACTATAATGGAACTTAAGTCCTCCTAAAGATATTTATTAAGGTCAAAGCAGTTAAGTCTACACTTCTTCTGCGTCGCCTTTATAGCAGACCTCATATCCATAGTCATAACAACACCGACAGTTGCCACCCTGTGATAAATGTCTCTGTTAACTAGGCACCTACATCAGATCTGCAAGCCATGACAATGTCTGAAAGCAGCATGTATGTTTCACAGGCAACAGCATTGTAGTGAATAAGTAATTGTCTATACTTAAGTAGTTTAATCACCTTGCAAGCAACAAATACAATTTCTGTATTTTGTCAACATACACACATGAACATACATTTTCACATACATATGCTGTAACCTTAAACCTTTACACATACCTCACTCACTTCCTTTTAACTATTAAGTGATGCTCTATATAATAATTACTTGTAAATAGGTTGAGGAAAAGAAATACAATACAGCATTAAATATTTGGCATTAACTGTATTTAAACACCCTACCCACACAGTCCACACCATGTACTAAATACAAATGGATGACATGACGGCTCCTAATAAGTAAAGCCAAAGCATCTCAATTGCCAACTGGTGGCTGGCTGCAGTATAGGTTATAAATCCTGTCTCCTACATGTTCGCTGATGGGACACGGACCAAATTACAAAGCCAAAGTACACGTCAACTACATTTGTGTCGAAGATGGTTTCTGTCATTTTAGTTAGTTTTTATCATGCTGATGTATGTTTGTTTTCTTCATTCCTTTAGGTTGGGTTTTAAATAGTTATTTGATGTTATAAAAACAGGGTGAAATATCATGGGACGTACTGACAGTTGGTCGATCAGCAGCTACTGCACAGACTCTGGCTCCACATGCACAAGATGGCAGTGTTCATTCATCAAATATTTGGGCTATATTTCTAGAAAGTGGAAGGAAGTGGAGAACCATCATCCTTTTTTATTCACTCTATGGTCCACACACAGGTATTTTCCAGTCTTCTTTGCACAGTGAGCCTGGTCAGGCAGCACACGATTGGTCTTTCTCACATCAGGCAGACTTGTCTTAGAAAGAAAAGCTCATGTCTTACTGATGACATTGACAATGGCAATGGTTATATTCAGGTGTCCCTTTAAAACCATGACGGCTCAAGGGAACCTGCTTAAGCAATATTAGGTCCCTAAAACCGAAACGCCTAAATGGCATTCCACCCTCACTCCTTTATTATTAATATTTACTGCTGTGTCAAGTATCCTCCATCAGAAAAGCCTACTGACATCTCCATGACTGTTGTGCACACAGATTAGATTGTGTGTAAAGATGGACGACAGCAGAGCTCCACAAAAGTGAAGTCAATACAATTGCTCCCCTGGTGGCCGACTGCAATAAAAGTCATGAATCTGGCCTCCTCCATGTAACAGATTGGATATGGATCAAATTAAAAAGTGCAATTAAATAAATGTTTTCCAAAGAAGGTTTCTGTCATTTCTGTCACACTAATGTATTGTGTTTAAGTATTCACTTTTGTTTTAATTAGTTATTTGATGCTCTCAAACTGGGGTGAAATGTCATGATTGACAGCTGAGAATGACTTATTAAGTCACCTCTGCACAGACTCTGGCTCCGAATGATGTCACCAGTGCAAAATATGTCACCACTATCCAGAATGTACCTTTCTACTCAAAAGTAAGAAGTAAAGACTCACCATCCATCTTTTTACATATTCTGTGATTGTGCACTTTTGACTGGGATTAAATGACCCCTTAATTATTCCAATCATACTTATTTGAATTTCCCTCCGGATTTCTGATTCTGATTGATTTCCTAAAATAATTTCCAACTGAATAGATCTAATCAACCGGGATAAAAGGAAATATCTGCGTGGGCCAGAAGGGGCTTTAGTAACCACTTAATATGAAATGTTACACTGTTAATAATCACTGTTTCCACTGAGTCATTTGACTAAAGCCTGAATTACACCAAAGACCCAGCACATGATTGGCCCATTTGTTTTCAGTCAAACTTTGAAACATGTTTGTTCAGTATTCAGTGGAAAAGTAATCATAAAGAGGGCATGACTGAACAGTGTTACTGTGAATGTATTCCACCTGTGGTCATGTTTTTAGAACAAATGGTCATCTGGAGCGTTGCAGCAAATTAAGATATAGAGCCTGGAGTGTAAATGGTAAATAAACCATTGGGGGTATTTTGTGGTAGTCCCCTAGTCCTACAGATGGTCCTCCATGTGGTGTCCTCATTCACTTAAAAGAAGTCAATAAAAGATTAACGAGTCTGCTGAGCCACCATGAAATCAGTGTGTGCTGTGAGATTTCCTACTGAAGATGGATAGAACATCATATTTTATTAACTGTTATTAACTTTCAATGCAAGACAGACTACCTTCACTCCACAAGAGGGAGCAATCTGCTCATCTTTAACCCACCACCATTCTTTAGCCACAGCTGCACTGTGTGTTTATGTGTGTGTAGTGTCATGGCAACGACCAGAGGCACATCACACACAAAAAACAGTCTGCTGAAAGACAGGACTCTTTGCCAGAAGGTGATAATGCTGTTATAGTGTTTCAGGGAAGAGAAGCAAAGGAAGAAAGAGAAAACTCATACAAACACACTTACTTGATACCAAGTAAGGACCTTTTTGTCTGAATTTACAGGGCCAGCCAAAATTAGGCTTTAAAAATACCTTTTACAGAAGGTTTACAAGTGCAGCACTCTGTTGATTTACTGCTTATAGTTTTTTTCCTATCAATAAATATCTTTGTTATGTACAGCTAAAAATATTACATTATTTTGTGCAGTCTGTACATATCAATTAATCTGGTGACTTTGGCAATAAATATGCAACAAATAATACAAATTAGCCAACATCGGCAATAATACACATTTTTCCACACAAAACACTAACAGAGAATGTTGTAGGTGTTTTTGCTAATCTCTATTAAGTGATCTATATATGAATTAAAAAAGCAGATAGCTGATGCAGTCAATATGTTTGCCTCCTTTGCTCTCATCAAGGACAGTTTGCCTCCAAGGAACCAAAGTCTAACCCTGCTCAAACGTGATTGGTCAAACTAGAAACAGAAAAAATATTGTCCCTCACCTGCAAATGCATGCAGAATTTCATCATTCAACATTAAAGTACAGGTGTGAATACACTCAAGACACAGGATGGACTGTAATCTGATCATGCATGCATATCATGTTCCTCAGTTCCCTTCTCTTTTTGTTTTCTTTTTAAAACAAGAGCAGGATGTAACGAGAGTGTTCAGATCTCAATGTAACATGGTAACTGGAGACACATTAAAACCAGTTGTCATTGTTACCAGGTCAAAATCATATCTAGATACAATCTGGATATGAAACATAAAATTATGTGGAAATGGTTTATGTGTTGAATTCATCTGCGGGTAACGTTTTGTTAAACATATGGAAGCTAACTGTGTTGCAACTGCAAACTGCAGTAGCCTGATTTCTTTGGTTCTGGTCAATTCTGGTTTAGATTTCCCAACTCACAATCAAAACATTATAAAACATTTTAGGAACATTTAAAAAAAATGATTTGCAATATCTGCACCCAGCCTGCTACTGATACATGGTTTGATATCTTGCAGGGCTGCTGGGTCAGGACCCTTTTAAGTAGGGCCCTTGTGAACCCTCTGGTGATGACTTGTGTGTAAACTTTCCCATCAAAATCCTACGTTGAGCTGTTTACATAAGTGCATCATATTACTACTCTCTACTCTGAAGTGAGGCCATTTTGGTGTTGTTTGGCAGTAGTTTGGCCAGTGTACCCATCAATAAGCATGCTGTCACAACTCCAATGATTGTAATTATATTTTAAGCATTGTTCTACCTCTTTCTGTTCTCAATTAAGTTTAGCCAGTTCACATTGGGCACCATAGTTTCACGTTGCTGCTGGAGGTTTACCATTTGGCAAGTGCTGGGTGTAGACTCTTCCAATAAAGTTGTCTGCTACTTTTGTTTCAAGGGGAAAATAAAGCGGGGTCTGTACAGTGGTAGTTAAGTGTAATATCCAATACCATAAGCATTATAATTGGCAGCTGTAACTTTAAATAGGGCCTGGTGGCAGCGGAAATCCAACTAATACCTGCTGACTAAAGCTTGAAGTAATTTTATTTCATTGTTTGTCCTCAACATGTGATTTTCTTAGATGTTTT